TTTTTATATTTTTGGAAAAAACTAAACCGGAAGTGACCTAAATACAGTGAACGAAATACCCTAGATAATTCCCGGGGATTCATTCTATATTTTGGCGAAGATTTATATTTATATTCGCCAAATTAAAGCGGGCGCCAAATTAACCCAATCTACAGTATACATAGGAAATTTTGGTTGATTTCACAAAAAGTATTCAAAAAATACTGGCACAGTGTCTTACATGGTTAAGGAAAATATCTTATTACATACATTATGTGGGAAAAATATTTTTAAAATTGTAAAGAAAATGAGAAATTTTCTCCATGAGTCCATGTACTTCAAAAAGTGAACTGTTGATTCACACTCGATTCCTCCATAAGAAACTACTCATAATCTATGAGCACTTGGAACAAGTGCATGTTTACGTCCTTGTTATGAGATTGTTACTTCTTCAAAGTATATTGTTTTTGAGAAGTATCAACACAGGCAAAACTTTCATGTGAGCCAAATGCCACATCGCAATTTTCAACAAGTTTGAGGGCGACACCTGTTTGTATGGTCAGACTTGCGTCGATGTAGGGCTGCAGGTTAACGTTGCCATAACCATAACGATAATTATAGATTTGCCCACAACTTGCACATTGGCATCCATTTTGTCCATTACACTGGTTCTGTGTATGTCCACATACACATTCCCATTGGTGCACCTGATTTCCACATTGAGAACATAGGTATCCTGTGTACCCTTGTGTACCCTGGCGTTTAATGTTACAAGTGGGACATTCCCATATAACATGGACTGGAATCACTTTCAACTCAAAATCACAATTTTCATCTTTGCTCGTTTTTGGACAATTGGGGCAAAAGCATTTAGTGCAATCACCTGTCCTGTGGCCACACTGGCAACGCCAGGTAAAATCACCAAGAGCATTACAAGTATTACACGAAGGACAATTTACACCCTGTTTTTGACAAATATCTCTGCAATTAGCAGATGAATAACCTTTACAAGACGGGCAGGTATATATGATGGGTGGGAATGACGCTTTGCCATGTTTTGTATCTAATGTAGTTGCAAGTTGTTTTGAAAACATAACAACATCTATATCGCGTCCGCAAGTGGTAAGAGTTTTCCCGAAGTCAATGATATTGTCCATTGCTTCCAATTCATTCTTCGCCTTTCTTTTTTGCTTTTCATATTCTTTGGTTTGTCGTTTCGCCTTGTCTTGGATTTCTTTTTTCAGTACTTTCTCTTGGGATGTTATCTTGCTTCTAAGCTTTTCAGCAAGCTTCGCAACTTCCTTGGTTGTTGTCTTCTCATCATTGAGTAAAGAAGTATGGTTGCCATCCAGGTCTTTGATCAGTCCCTTCAGGTCATCCGCATCACTCTGTACGTCATCAAGCTTAGCCTGCAGGGCCTCTTTTTTGGTTGCAGCTGCCTGGGCAATTGTGACACATTTATGGCTATCGTGTTCTGTGATCTTGCACATCATGCATACGGGAGTATCACATTGTGTACAGAAAAGCTCTATGTACTTCCCAGCATGCGTCTCACATTCAACCTGTTGGGCGGCTTTGATCTGGGTAGCATATTTACCAGATTTCACCTCATCCAGTGGTACGACATTGTGATTCCTTGTGAACTTGGAATAAGTGTGCATGGAAGCGTGTGACTTGCACATATCATCCAGACACTGTATACACTTATGTGAAGCGTCGTCATCGCAGAACTCACACGTCACAGGACCAGCGCGCATTTTCCCCATAGCTTCTTGGAGTGAGTTGATCAAGAAATTCACGCGCAGGCCATCCACCCCTTTTTGCGTTGTTGTTTCACATCGACAGATTGGGCAGGATATGATGTGTTTGTTTTTGGCTTTGGCTTCTATCCTTTGTAGGCATTTTAGGCAGAAGGAATGCAGGCAGTCCAGAACTTTTGGGGTGACAAAAGGCTCGAAGCAAATTTTGCACTCAAGGTACTCATCCTTAATTTCTTGTGCAGTCGCCATGGTAACGCTGCTTTGAAAGTTTCTGTCTGAAATGCAAATGGAAATATTTCAATTGCTAATTAGTGTTCGGCGGGGGCATACACGTGATAGAGTGATTCAATGTGCTTGGAACATAGTTCTACTGAAGTCAATAAGATAAAAAGTTGAAAAATACAGTGCATGTATTGTTTCTCAAAACATGTATGCAAAGATAACATATTGCACTCAGAGTATATATTTTATCCGACAAGGAGACAAGGATACAATGAAAATGACAAAACACTGATACACACACCTCTTTCAAAAATTCTATAATTGAGGCTGTCGACATTAATTGTGTATTAAGTTGTAACTAAAATAAAAGAAAATCCTTATAAGAACAAAACTACAGAAGCAACGGTCACAGTTAACAAATATCAATTATAACCATCGGGGTTGCAAACAATCACTCCCGCCCATTTCCCTTCTGGCCATAATACTTGAGCAAAATAGAGCCTCTAAGTGCGTTCCTTAGTGCTTTTAGATTACCTCTTCTGCACTAAGGTTCCAATACACTGTTGGAAAACTGAGAGTATCTGACCTCAATTTTAATTTTCGCTGAATGCAAAATAAGATACTAAAAATATATTTTGACAATCGGTTTCTATTTTCAATCTGCTAAATGTTCATAACAACAAAGTTTGGGGTCTAGGCAACACAACAGTATATAATTATGATGTTTCCACTTTTTTTATGGTTATGATTACATCATTGAAAATACCACCCAAATATCCATGAAAACAATGCCAAGTTTATTTTTTATATCATAATTTTTCATTGATTTTTATATAAAACAGGAGAATGTGCTTTAATTAGTTATTAGTAAACCTAAAAATAATCCATTCTGGCCATAGGGATACTTGTTATTTTGAAATTGATTGATTGATTGATTGATTGATTGATTGATTTTCATTTATAAATGACCCCTTGGGGATGAAAGGGTTAATATCTAATCTCGCATTCACTAAAAATTCAAATAGAGGTCAGATTGTTAAAGCTGACACTTTCAACTTTCCGATGGTGGTGAATTATTTCACCCTAGTTTGCTGTACTTTAGTTCTTTCAAAATCATTCAGTTTTCACCATTCTGGGCACTTGTCAATATCCTAGATGCGAGTAGAAATAATCTTAATTTGCGTCATTAAAAATTCACAAATCAGTCAAACTGGTGTCATATTTGGAATCTACATATAAAATTGCGTCTAAACATGTGGTTTTGAAAAGAGTTTATCAACTTTGAAAATTTAATTTTCTTTGAAAATGTGACTTCTAGGTCGGGGAGATTCCCCATAGACCCCATGTTGTAAAACTGCAAAAAGTGAAATATCTTTTCTTGTGTTAGGCAGATAATATTTTCTTTTACAGGACATATTTTAATTTGTATAACTACAATGGTTATTTGAAAAGTGAACCATTAAAACTGATGCATATTCAAGTTTAAGGGAATTTTGTAAAACCGTTCCATGTTATTTTCCCCGAATCAGCCACCTGGTGGCGAAACCGGTAAATACCTACTCGCATCTGAGTAATTGATTTTGGGCAAGTTGTCAAATGTGAACCCCCTTGGATTTTTTTTAAAAGTGAACCCCATTGGCAATTAATCTGGCTACGGGCCTAACAAGTCCCACAATCTGAATCTGAATATCATTCCCTTGAATCAAGAATGATTCATACTTTCAAGAAGCATTTGAATTTGATCCATCAAAGGGGTTGGCATGAAACGCGTAGGGCTAGACAAGACTTTAAGCTTACAGAAAAGATTTTAAGACGGAAAGTCCATATAGATTATCACTAAGAATTTTACCCAGAATGTCTACTTATAATCAGCTTCAAATTTTTCTACAGAGAAATACCTTTGAAAATTTCAATTCAATCCCTCCAAGCGTTTTCGAAATGTCCTTACGATCCACCTGCCCGGCAACTATCGACCTGCAGCAAAAATACTGTTGTGTCTTACCTTAATAAGATGTACAGCCTATGAATTTGACTTTGTTCATCAACGTCTGGCGGGTGTACGAAACTCAAGACTGATCAATAGTTCGATCGAATGTTATCTTTTAAAGAGCTTATTCAAGGTTTTGCTGATATGTGTTTCTTCGAAGTATGGGCTATTCACGCATTTCTTCGAATTGTGCTTCTCCGAAGTAGACGACTGATATTAAATATTTCTTTGAGTTGAATAGGCTCAGGTGAAGAGGTCTTTGAAGAGAGCAGGCCCGTAGCCAGGATTTGCCAAGGGGGGGTTCAATTTTCAAAAATTTCCAGGGGGGGTTCACATTTGACAATTTTGACCCAAATTAGGCTAAAATCACTAGAGAAGTGCTCAAAATGGTCAAAAACTGCATGATTTTGAAAGAATTTTTGGCCAGGGGGGGGGGTTCGCCCGAACCCTGCGAACCCCCCCTGGCTACGGGCCTGGAGAGTTTCACATTTTCACTTATTATATTTTTTTGGCATAACCGTGCGCTTTGAATAGTGAATAGTTGACCTTTATTAGCCTTGCCCAAGTCGTTAGCTTTTCTCAATGACTTCAAAAAAACGTTTAACTTCCTTTCTGAAGTAAGCTTACGCGCTTTGAATCAACGGTTTTTACTCACGTCGAGAGCTACCATGTTAGATTTTGAAAGTATTTTGCAGGATTGATTACAACACACCGAAATCAGTACGATAATGAAATCATGTTCATTGTAAGCCTAATACAAATTATATCTGTTTCTATTTTGATAAAATATTTTCTTCGCAAGTACAAAAATTAAATCATACTTTTTTTTCCAGATATCCGTCCAAAAAGACTGAGTCCAGAAAATAGTTATGATTCCCAACGCTCAACAAAATCTTGATTTTTAAAATACCCACAATTAATATTACGTAAAGCGAACGGGTTGAAATGCAGATCTTAACCGTTTACGTAACAAAAGTGAGGAATAAATTGAAGATTCTGTCCTCCCACGAACTATCATATGAATGTCACTTGGGGATTCAGCGGGAGGGGGGCTTAAATTTTCAAAAGGGCCAAATTTTGGGGTTTTAGGGGCCAAACATTTTTATCTGCAGTACGGAATTTTTTCCTGAATTTAAATGTACCCCCCCCCCCCTTGGTAGCTTGCTTCTGGATCCCCCAGTGAATGTCGTGCGAAATCACTTGGATTTCCAAAAAACATTTGATGCTTTAGTCTTGCTCAAGCCCTTGTGTTGTAAAAGTAGATAGTCCAGGGTTTTGAAGCAAGATTGATGTGTAAGCCTATTATGACGTGCACGGACCTGGGGACAATTAGAGAAATACGGCCTAATGTCACCTTTAAACGTTAATACCCGCCTAAGTAAAAAACCTAAGCATGTGTTTCATATATCATTTTGAAGCCTTTTTTATGCGCGTTTCAGTGATACTATTTTTGCTCGAAAATTTCGATGTGATCTACCATTTTTTTAAAGTTAAAACTACCCCAACATCGAAAAATACGGTGTAAGACGTAACACTTTACCCTTAACCGGTTCGTTGAAATTATGATAACTTTTGAAGTAATAATCAGAATCCCATGAAATTTTCACATTTTGTTCAATTGACCATGTGTATTTATGACGTCATAATTGCGTAACGGCTACAATTTGAATTTTCTTATTTGGGCGCTTGCTACAATTTTCAAAATTATGTAAGGGTTTTCATCCGAAGGGGACAGGCGATAAGTTTACCTTAATTTGACCTTCTTATTTAGGTTTAATTTGAATGAAAAATTAACTGCACAATATTGTCACGGCGAAATTTACAAAACAATAACCGGATTGTTTATTTTGCAAATTATATCAAAATAAGAGCTGATTTTCGAGACTTGAAAAAAATGTGACGCGTCGTTTTTTTACCACAAATTCCATACATATCAATTTTCACTATCGCCCCAAGTGGATTTCCCGACCGTTTTTCAAAATTTAAAATCATTTTAGAAATAATGTCCTCGAGATCTTGCTACCCTGTGAATTTTATCATCAGGGGTTTCAATAAATATTTTTTCAACAGCCCTTCGGCAATTTCAACAGGCTGAATTTTTTTTTACCATTCGCCGCTCGCTTCGCTCGCATTCTCGTTCATATTTGGAGTTAAATTACCCCTTGCGCTTCCTCACTGTGACATAAAACGATAAAATCAGTATTTTCCTGTCACTTTAATACAAACTGTATATGACCAATAGATCTATTTGACTTGTTCATTACTTTATGTGTTTTTTAAATGTTGACTCGTGTAAATTAATAAACTCAATATTTCTGACACATTATTAATCTCAATGAAATATAAAGATAACATTCAATAGTTTGATATGCATTTTTGACTTGTAATTTTTTATTTGTTTTCAAATGTTGCCCTTTGTGCTTCCTCACTATGATGTAAGACAATGCCAAGAAGATCAATTGTATTGATTATACTGTTTGTTTTCAAGTATAATATAGTGTCCATTGAAAGTTGACAGGACAGTGATAAAGGTTTTTTGCTACTGACCCATTAGTCTCAAAGCAATGTTGGTTTGAGAGTAGGTCAATAAAAATGGTGGCCGGATTACAGTAAGATAATTATCTCAGTGTTTCTCTAAAACACTGCTGATTATCTGCCTACTATACTTAGATTTTGCCTTCACAAGGTAGGCCAATTTATATTCTTTCATTTGATATGTCAAACTAAATTGATTTGTCTCATGTGTCAGCAAATTCTCTCATCATTTGGACCGGCAATTTTTTCTCAATTTTTTTTCTCTCAAAATTTGAACCGGCGTTACTGGGATTTGAAGCGGCGTTATTGAAACCCCAGTATCATGATTAGATAAGGATGAAGGATTTTATTTTGAGGTTGACTAAACTTGAAAAAAATGTGACGCTCGTCGTTTTTGACGTTGTAATGCTGTTTGCGCCCTATACTGCTCATTGTTTTGTTTTGGTATTTTGACGCCATAATGTTACCCTAATTGTCCCCAGTTTCGTGCGACGTGTATATACGTTTCTGCCGAAAAGATTCTGATGATTCACTCTATATATCATGGGCTTTCATGAGAATGGTATGCAACTTCCCATATTTCATACATAAGTATTGCCTTGGGTTTCAAAATAGGAGAAAAATGCTTCTTATACACATTCCAATACAAGAAAAATCTTATTTTGTACTTTTCATGTATGATTTAAGAAAAAACTCAAGAATAAAAGCATGATTATCTACATTCATGTTGATAATTTAATATAAAATGGAATTCATCATAATTATGGCAATATTGAAAGTGAACATTCTCCCACAAATTATATTTTTATTGGAATGTGTTCTTGAATAATTACCCACAATGCAACATTCGAAGAGAACATTTTGATACTTTTACTTATCAGTATTTTTTGTTAACTTTTAAATGAGATTTAACATGTTTTATGCTTTAATGATATTCAAAATTGATTTTTCTTCAAGATAATACTAAAACACATACATTTATCTAAAACTATGAAATATTTTTCAAAAAAAAGAAGCATGACACTGCTTGAACTGCATGTACCCTTCTCTTGAAAGCCCATGCATGTATATATCTAGAAATCAGGGGAAAGATAAATATTGCCAAACTTCGCCGACTTACCACTGAATTCCCCAGGGGATGATCCATTCCGTGGTAAGACGTGGTACAGCGTGAGTAAGTTAAATGGGTGATTAAGGATCTGGCACTTTGGCTAAAAACGTGCCAAAGTTACAAAAAATGGAGAAAACGAAATACGAAAGTGCCGCGGTCGTATTTTTAGTTTATGCTTCCTAGCGCTATTTCTGCTATATTTAGAGTGTGATTCTTTTTGAATTATCTCCCTCGATATATTAACTTAACACTATTATTTTGCAGCATTACATAACAGTCAGGTCCATGTTCAGTTAAGAAATTTTGTTAATTGTAATAAATGTAAATTTGTTCGTATTTTGATATAATATTTCTACCGATTACTTCAAACAAACTTATTTTCTGGATAATTCGCTTTACCATTCGAATCAACACTATCATTTTGCATCCACAGCACCGGATCATACACAATAATGAAATCATGGTAAAAAAGAACAGTATTATCGCCAGTTTGTTGGTTACAGTTACATGTAAGAGACCGAGTCTCACTTTTCTGATACTGCTTGACGGTTTAATTAGCTTTGTGGGCATGCAATGGCAATCAGAAGACGGCGACTTTTATTCATTTTAGCTGCAATACAATAAACACTTTTTCCTGTATTCGTTTTTGAGCATGCTCGGTAGGCAAAATGAATTAGTCATATATGTTATCCCAATGGGTGAAGTTCGATGAAGACTGTAGAAAAGACATCCATCCACCCGTCCACCCCTCCGTTAATCCAATGTTCTAACTATTACGCACATATCGGTCGGCGGATTTGGTAATCAAATGTTATGGGCTGGTGCCCTTTGGGCTTGGGACCTATTTCTATCGGTTGAATTAAATTCTCACGCTGATTTGGAGCCAAAGGATCTTTACTCAATATGAATTTGAAACCCCGCCATTTTTTATGATTTCTTTTATATGAATACTAATTGTTTGATTTGATCCAACCTCTATGGGCTGATGTCATATGGGTGATAGATATGGGAGAGCCTTCTCGAATGAGAAACCATGACATCTCATTTCTTCTCATTTTCGAGGCCCCTATACAAGGAAGTACGCGAGGCCCGTGTAGTTATAAGTTCGAGGCCCGAACGAGCTTGAGCGAGACTCGTAATTGAACTTTTTTCAAGCACAAAAAAAGAAATCAATTGTACTCTTTGATCACTTACATTAACGATATAAACTTTCAATTAGGATACACTTATCATTTAAATATCTTATATGCTATTGTACTCTATTTCAATCAATCTTTAAATCCTACGCTACCTAACTAGGGCCTAACTGCAAGTGCATGGATCGAAAATTACCAACAGTTACGGCCTCGTTACGGCTCCCGTGCGAGCAAGTGCTTGGGTCGGAAATTACGGGTTCTTACGGGCCTTGTAATCACAAGCCAGTACGAGGCTCGGAAGTTACGAGCAATTACGGGACTCGTTACCAGGCCCGTACAAGGTTGTACAGAGACCGTTGAGGGAACAGGGCTCGTACAACCTCGTCTGGACCCTGATGTAATTTGCTTGTTTAGCCTACAATCCAAGATTTACAAGATTTGGATCATTTTATTTCTACTGATATCAACAAAATATCTAAAAACTGAATTCATAATATCAACATTTGAAAGGGAGGAAAAATATATACTAAGCAGAACTTGGGGCAAAAACAGTCTGTCATTTATGGCTGTTTTATCAGTTTTATATGGCAGTTTCCGCAGCAAGCTGGTTTTTAATTGCTAATAATAATCAGTAGGCCTATCGGTTAATTATTGATTAATCCAGGTTCACAATTAATATATTTGAAGGTACAGTTGTTGGTAGACGTAGGCTATATGATGGCTATCTTGTTAGATTGTAAACAATAGTCTTGCAGTAATGTCAACGCTGAAAACGGTTGCAGTTGTAATACCTGTGTTGATTATATCATTAATATACGTTTGCGTCATCAGTCTCAGTGCGCGTCAACACATAGTTATAAATGATATCAAGCATAAACAGTCAAAACAAAACAGCATGGATGATGCGATAGAAACCAAACGTGATAAGAGTCAAGAGATGAGACCGACGTCACGGAGAAAGTTACAACTGTTAGACCCAGCGAAGAAAGGTCTTCATTCTCCGAAACAATTGTTGTTCAGCCATCTACCAAAGGCTGGGGGTAATGAGGTAAAATATATATTAGGAATGACAGTTGGACAGAGAGGCTACCATCTTCAACGCGAAAATGGATCTCTGACGCCAATTCAAAAATCACAATTCTTTGTGATAGCCCAAGTGCGATCTCCGTGCAATTATTTACTTTCGCTATGGGCATTCGGCTCGGATGGAAAAGGAGGTTTTTACAATTCAATAAAAGATAAAAGTCTTTATGGGCGGACCCCACCGTATAACAACAAACAGGACTTAGAGCGATTCACCAGGTGGTTACAAAACTACAAGCATATGTACTCAGAAAGATTAATGAGCAAATATTTCAGATTTGAAACGTGGAAAAAGGAGCCAGATTTGAACAACGCAGACTGTTGGGTTCACACTGAAATGCTAATTAGTGACTTGGTCAATTGTTTAAAGAGATATCAAAAACAGGGTGGTAAAGTGTCTTGGGAAAAATTTCATAAAGTATATTCAAATAGAAATCCTAGTACACATGTGAAGTGTGACAAATATTTCAATGATGAAAGGACGCAGCTTGTGATGGATTCAAACACGGATATGATAAGGTTATTCCGGTATGACACGTGCTGTACAGAAAACACGAACGCAACAATAACTGAACTTGCTGAACGAGCAAAGAAAGGCTCTTGATTATTAAGAAAATTTGTTTCTAAATGTCATATTCTCTTATTATTCCTATATGGGAGTATACGTTGTACAAAGAGGCATTAGAGGGCTTGCATATAAAATCGAAACGCCAACCTATACGTATCGTCCATACAAATACATCGCTTAGATATTTTCCGTTCACGTTTAGGTTGTGAAAAACATTGCAAGCTTAAACTCCCTATTTGTTTTAATAATCCATGTAAATGAAATAAGAAAAGATGAGCATACATTTGAGAAAACAAGGGTCACAAGAATGCTGCAAACTGTCTAAGGGTTTAAAAATCTCATATTATAAAGTCTGCTAGATCCAAAGGTTTTTATAGTGCTAATTGAATAAAGGTATTTTCGACATTTTGTAAGTAGAAAATGCTTGAAATCAGTTACTCATGGGCGTAGCGCCTGTTACGCCCAGTACGCCCGTGAGTACCAAATGAATTTGAAAAAATGAAAAACCTGATAAAATTCATTAATTTGTTTGCACATTTATTGATGATTCTCTATTTGCATTTTAAACGATTAAGTTTTATTAGAAAAGAATTATTTAAAGTGGATAAAAACGCTCAGATTGCATCAAATAGCGTCTTCGGAAATATTTCCAGAACGCCAAGATGCACGGCCTTAGGCCCAGCATTCAGACACCGGTGGGCGTACCAACTCAAAATGTAGCCTTGCGCTCACAGTTACATCTCGAATATAGTATCTAACATAAAAAATGAATTGAATACAAATTGAGAAATGTAATGTGAAATAAACAAATAGAAATATGACCTTCATTACGCCCAGGTGAGTGTGAATGTATCATTTACATGTATATTTTACATTAATTTAAACATACAACATAAAACATCACATAAACTATTACATTGATCACTAGATGAGTAAATATCGAAGTAAACGAACATTTACCATTATTGAAAATTTGAATCACAAATGAACATTACATTCAAAAATAAATCAATTGTAACACAGTGCATTCGGACACTAATAGCTTTGCTCTTTATGCATACTGTGGTAATCATTACCAAGTTATTAGAAATTATCAGAAAACTGAATTTATCAATATGACCCATTGTGAGATCAACAGCCTATACAATGTGTTAGAGTAGGCTCTGGTCAAGGCCAATGTAAAAGTAGTATTACCTCAATCTAGAATCTCACAGGTGAGAGACTTTCCATTGGGCCGAATCCTAGGAGTTCAAACACATTTCTGCAAATATCTGTTCCCATGGCAACAATTATGTAAATTACTTTTGTTACAATTGCTCATCTTCTTTTTTGATTTTGAATTTGTAAAATTGTACATTATGTTTACAGATATGGTTTTAAGTTTCCACGGGGATTTAAAATAAATAAGAACTTGAATTAATATTTTGCCATTTTACTTTGCGACACTCAATGCCCATCATTCATACAAGGCATTAACATGCAAAATGTCACCACCTGTCATTTGTTACAGACGCCGAACACTAACCACTGAGCACGATCAACAAAATGTGGCTGACATTAGTTGGGAGCTAACATAAATATATACATTTTACCTTTCCTCAGAGATGAAGACACAAAATCAAACAAAAGATACATATTAAGTTTTAAAATTGATTTATTAGTTTTACTAGTTCTTAAAGAACAGATTCACATCAATGCATTGTATGTTGCTTCAATAAATAAATTACATATTAATGTTGTTAAAGGGACTTACTTTTGATACACATATAATAACACACTTCCCAGTTAGTTTTACATACGTATACAGACAACAGAGGTCCTTAAGGGAGTTATAATGCACAAATTGTCTCTTAATATATCTACCTATAGGTAGTGATATTCCGCTACCAAGGAGTGATATTCCAGTTATTGCAAAATAAATTTCAAAACAGTTATTGAAAAACTTAATCCATTTAAGGATTAACCCCCTCCTATAATGAAAGCTAACTTTTAATTTATACACCAATATTGCTAAATAATATTTTTAATTAAATGGAACATGGGATTCTAAATTATGGCTTGGTCCAGATTCCTAAGGTCTCAGAAATGTACACACAACACCGTATACATAATTTTAACAAACTAATGCAAAATATAAATAAACAAAGCTTGTCTTTTTGAACCAAGTCACTTTTCAATTGTTTCAATTTTAATCATATTGACTGACCCTAGAAGATTGATGTACTTATAAACTTGGTTATCAAGCCATATATTATATATTTACAGATATTAAATAAGTTAAATTAGCTACGTTGTTATAATTCAGCATAGCAATTAATGTAAGACCAATTCAAAAAAATTAATTATTTGTTTAGTAAGCCTTCCTAAAACTGTATGACATTACTATTACTTTTCAAGAATTTAGGGATTTTGCCTCCTTATTGCAAATGTTTCTCTATGAATTCTAAACAAGAGAAATTCTTGAAGGAAACCAAATATTTTTGTAATCTCTCAAGTCATATATTATTCGTTTCTAAATACCATATTCTCTCCAATTCTCCCAAATTGAGAAATAAAAGGGGTAATATATTGAGAGATTCCATAATTATCAATCGATATCTTGTTGTGTAAATAATGAAAACTAACGCATTAAACTTGGTCTTTTCATGAGACCATATTCCTTAAAAAAGTTGCATGTGAGCCCATTGGAAATGTGCGGTCATTAGAGAGAATACAGTATTAGTTTTTTAGAATATTTTACTACAAAGTTTCAGTCAGGGGACAGTCTCCTATACTAAACTTTAATTGTAGGTTATCAGTAATTACTAATACTTATACATTTTACTAAAAAAGTTATTATCTGCAGTAAAATTCTTTACTGCAATGTCCTATATTTGAAAATATACTGCATATTGGGGAAACACACAGCTGAATCCGAGCTAGCTCTAAAATGGGAAAACAGACTGCTGAATCCTAGCTGGCTCTGAATTAAATACCATCATGAATCTAGTATAATCTATCATCAGATTAGATAAGATTGAGCTATGAAATAACCACTTCACTATCCATAAATAACAAGTTCATACAATAAGGGGTGATAATTTCAGCATGTCTAGTCTCAACTGCCTAAAGTTTACTGAAGAAGGCCAATGTTGAGATTTGGGGAGTGGGTTCCGGCAACGGCTAAGAGGACAGGAAGGTCACTTTGGTCACACCTGGAATCAGAAATCATAAGTTTATAAGATACGATTCATAGGCACTTTTGCCTGTTATCGATCAGTTACAGGAACCTTATAGTCCTAAGTAGAATAATCAACATTGGTTTGTTTGTTTAGTTGTTTATTAGTATATATTTTTATTTGTTGAAACCGACAAATCCCTATATTGTTAACAAGACTAGGAGAACTTTTTGAAAAATTGTCATAGTTTTAGCATGTTAAATTGCTCACAAAACTGTTTTTTAAAATACCCAAACCAAACAATTGATGAAAGTATCCTGGTCTAATTAATTTGCAATAATTCTGAAAATGTGATTTTTCCTATTCAATGAAACTTACAACTTGTGGTTGGGACATTAATGAGACTGATCTCAAAAACAACAAATATATGGAAAGATAAGTATGTATTTAAATAACATGGGAAACATTTAACTAATTGGACTTACCCGAGAATAGTGGTGAGATCTTTCAAATGTGTTCTTTTGTTTGTCTTCAGATATTCAGCTAATGTCTTACTCTTGAAGTAAATTTCTTGGAGACAGTCTTCCAAATGCATCAAGCACTGAAGTAAAAAAAAAATGAGAGAAAATATATAATCAAGGAGAATGCTGACAATGATCAATAACAATTGGCCATACATATATAATTTGGGGATAAGTTTGAGTTTTGTTCATTTTTGTAATCTAACACTTATATCTAAAATCAGCGGTTCTGGTAAGCTTCAGACTTAAACATGATAATTGGATATTTAAGATTATAAGATCTAATTCTTGACAATTTCAGAATAAGAAAGAGTTATTATGAATGTGTCCTTACAAATTCTGGAGGCATCTTCATTGAGCACATGTGCCGGGTGGACTCAACGAGGCTTAAGATCATCTGTGACGGCATAACCTCTGTCACAGTTTGTCGTCCACGTACCATTTGACTGTGTGACATCACTTTTACTTTGCTGTAACCCAAATAATATGTTTTGGAAATCATTGCATCATAAAATAAAATTAGTCTGTTTTCTTAATCGTTGCACATAAATCTGAGTAATCTCATTTGTCAGATTCCTTTTAAGTTCTAAACATGCAAACTGTCACCACTCGCCATTTGTTACAGACGCAGAGTACAGTCCACAAAAAAGGTTGGAGACTTGAATTATATTTCACCATTTCTGGTGGTGACATTAAAGTACAATTTCACATACCATTTATCAGTATCTCCAATGACACATAACGCTTCTACAGCAGGCTCATCCAAAACAGGATGTTGCGCCGACATCGCCAAATCATTCATCAAACGACCTTCAAATTTGGTATCGCTTGTACCATGCAGAACAAAATCCGACATATAGTGATCGGAGTACCCTGCGAGTAACGAGTGCCCAAAGTTTGTTTCAATTTGCTGCATTGTTGTTTCGTCCTGATCAGACATCGGCATCGGAAGTTCACGGAGATTAAGAAATGGGTCATTATCTTCAGACATATAGCTCTGTGTGCTGACGGAAGATAGGTGGCGCCTCCTGGTGTTGTCAGTTGGAGTCCCAGTTCTATTAACAAGAGAATGATAAATAAAAAATTATTGGCTGTTTGACATTTATATCTGATTGTGACAAACATACAAAGAATTTTAAAACAATTTTATTTGTGTTGGGCCCTTGTTTACTTTGAGAAAAAATTAAAATCAAACAATAAAATAATACTATCTGCTCTAAACACTTGCAAAATGCAAGAAAAAAATACATGTATGAATAATAATCCCAGCCACATACCTATAAAGGGAAATACAAAAATAGCTTTACCTCAGACGTGCAATTGTTGGATCCACACTAGTACTCCTCTCAAGTCGTTTCCCACTTCCAGGGGTCTGGACTATTCCTGGCGTCATTGTTGCTGTAGAATCTTCACTGTCTTGTCTACAAGGGGTCTTCACAGATTTTGAGCTACTAAGGGGTCTTTGAGAACCCTGACTGTTTATATCACTATTAGTCGTGTCTTTAATATTGGGCTGAATGTGTAAAGATAATCCCTCAAGTTTTCTCGATTGAACTGTAGATTGTTTAGCTTGTAAGGCATTGTTTTCAATAACTGTAGATACATTTAGTTCTGAAGGCCTCTTTGGTCCTGCATGTAGTAAAACTGGCTCATCAGTATTATCATTGATAACATTTTCAATATGTTTGCCATTGGGCAAAGTGTATGTTTCATTTTCATGTGACCCGTATCCTTTATCAGTATCTGGGGGTTCCAGCTCCTTGTGCTTTTCAAAGGGCTTAAAGACCCCAGATTTGACTGCATTGTTTTTGAGACTAGAAGAACACACATCGTCAGTGACTGTGCTTATGAGGTTCACACGTGCAAAGTTTTGCACAGGATTTTCCAGTGCTTTAGGTTTGACGATTTCATGAACTGGTGGCACGTCTTCAAAATATTCATCAAACATGCCCTCTTTTGATGGGAATCGAAAGTAAAGTGGAATCCGCCGATCAGTGTTCGACAGCACCACATCTGAACCATCAACAGAGACATCTTTAGGTTTCACTATATTGTCATGAAAATAGGATTTATTTCCAATATTGTTTGTTCTACCCAGATTTTCATTAATAGAAGTCAATTCACCGTCAATTTCATTTTCAAACCCTGTTTGTTTTTTATGGAGCTTCGCTTGAAGATTTTCCCGAATTTCAGCAGCTGATTTCCCAATGTGCCTAATTTTTAAAACGTTCCTTGTTTCAGCAATGTCATTTTCAGCTAATTTACAAATGTCTGAATTTTCTTGGGGATCAATCATTTTGTTTTCCAACAGGCCAGCTTGATTTACTGTTTTCACATTTTGCACATTGTTCAATTCTTCAGATTTATTTTGGGGACATTTTAACACTTCTTGGGGACTTTTTGTCCTCATGAGAGCCTTGACTTTATCTTGAATATCTCTTAAAGGCTCACAGTTATCTTCAAAATTACTTCGCATGTTTGTACAATTATTGCAAATGTTTGTTTCTTCAGTTATGCTGTTCTCTTTATTATTACATTGTCCTCCTGTATGGCACTTCGATTGAGCAATTTTATTAAACCCATGTTCTTGTTTACTATGATTACTACTGGGCCCTGAATCTGTATATTTAAGATCATATCCAGGTTCATGATTCTGTAGCATACCATGTGGCCCTGAATCAGTATATGTATTGTTTGTTTCAGTGGTAATTGAATCACCTGTCTTGCTTACTCCTGATTGAAGATATAAATCTATTTTAAGATCATCCTGATTCAGATCTGGGTAAAGATGTGAGCCACCACATAGTTGTGAACCAACACACAGTGGTGAACTAGTAAGAGTTCGAACACTCTCTGAGGTTGTATTATGACTATTTCCGTAATATTCATGTGGCGTGTCATGACTAGTCTCAAACTGCAGATCGTCATTTGGGCTAAAATCGTCGATAATATCATCTGTTTCTTCATACAATCTCTGTTCAAGGACCTCCTGAACCTCGCTACATCGGATAAAATAGCTGAGGATATACAGCAGCTTGCAAACTAAATCAGCACGTTTGCCGACAATCACAGTTCGAGAAAGTTTTGCAGGGAATCCTATAGCCCCATATAAGTCCCCTAGCTGTGCCCATAATGGATTGTAGGGATGCGACTTGGCCAGTGTATCCAGCTAAAACATTGTGATACAAATGATAACAAATCAATTTTCACATTTGGTCATTCAACAATATCATTTCCATTCTGATATACACATAGTATTTTGCACTCTTAACTGAGTCATTCATTTGAAGATTTTACTATCATTTTATAATATAAACTAATTGTTGGAATGCTTTACATTTGTCAGTATAATTTTTATTCATTTGATTTATTCAATTTCATCAAGTCAAAATAGTGTTGATACACATGGACATAAGATGCCCATAAAAGGAAAAATCAGTGCTTACAGGAATAATTTCACAAAAAAATTCAATATTCAGAAAATGTGGATGCAAGAAAATTGTAAAACATATTTAATTTTTTCTATTTCTTATTTTATGTAATATGTACCCACCCATTTTGCTGTGTGTTTATCATTATAGGTGACACTAGGAGCAGCTCCCGCAGGTGTTACCGTAGGAACCCAAGCAAGATGATTTGTCAAAACACCCGTCAGCAGTGTACTTATGAAACTGAAAAAAAAAACAAGGAACCAAATTAACAAAAATTAATTCTCAAACATACTAATAATGGAGATGGGTGGAGCAAGCAAGGAATAAAATAGAAGGAATATACGAGGGTTGTCCCAGAAGTAATGCACTATATGCTTGTGCAAACAGAGATGTACAACCATGAGAATCAAGATTTTCGATCAAATATGAATACAAAGTCAGATGTAGAAATATCCAAATCCAACTGGAACTGATAAAGTCGACTCATTTTTTGTGCTAGATGACATTAAATATCAAAGAATTATGACAAATTACACCAGAACTGTTGGATTTTCTAGAAAATAGGCACATAGAATAGACAGAATGTTGAGAGAAAAATATTGTTTAAATAGTAACTAAATAGTCAACTTTTCCAGGGTTTGTTGACCCATTTAAGATTTAAGAGTGATTGAAACAATGACTGAACAGAAATCTCGAGCACACACTATAACACGATCCCCTGACAAAAAGTCATGTGATTTACACTGTATATGTAATTGAGTCATGTGATGCACCCCAAGGTAAGGGGTCATCTCAAAGTTCAAGAAACTATCAAAAGGCTATTGAACAATTTCAAATTGACTCATGTATGAAACTTTGTGAGGACTTAATACATCCCTTGAAATATTACATTCACCATGATATATTTTTATCAGTTAGCATGTTAAAAAACAGTTTCATTTTAGGATTTTTGTGTTTCTAGATTTTGATACGATCCCTAAGCCTTGGGAAGCATAATAAATTAATTATTTTAATCCATTCACTTAAATTTAGAATAAAGTTAGACCTTGAACGTAATTAATAATAATTATACCTGTATGTCACAAGACCAATAAAACTTGCATAAGTTAAAGTTTAAAATGCACATGTATTGCAACTTTTTCTGAACTGCCAAACTTTTTAACAAGCATGATTCACAAGATGATAATTAACATGTAATAATCATCAAGGAAGGTCTCACATGCAAAGTGCACATGACCAACTTTACAAGGCATTAACATGTAAAATGTCACTACCTGCCATTTGTGACAGGCACCAAAATGCCAAACACCATCCACAAAAAAGGTTGGAGACGATAACAATATGTCAAACACTATGGTGACAAAATAATCAAGAGAGCTGCAGCTTTTAATGTTGTAATTTTATGTAGAATTACAATGTTTGTAAACCCAGTCAATTAAGACATAATACATTTCTACTTTTTCAAAATATTTTACTCCAATGTGTTGGGTAGACATTTTAAGAGGCTATAATCATATAGATATAATATTGTTTGATTTTGTCTCGTGGCTTGATAGTCAATTGTTAAATAAACAAATCTATTTGTTTATGAGGAGTTCACTTGAGATTTGAGCCCCAGATGTCAGACATGTGATTGTTTCTCACTTTAAGAGGCCTTCTTTCACACTACTTTGTCTTAAGTTTTTAATTTAATTTACAATCAGGGACAGTTTTGGAAATTACTGAGAAAAGATTGTGTATAAATTTTTGCCATTTCAAAAGTGTTATCCTTACTATAATGGTTAAGTTTTAGAAATTATTGAGAAAATATTTCAAATCTGACAAAATTGAGCCAAAAATGACAGTCATGAAAACACTGAAGAGCATTTCTGTAACCTAAACTTATTGTAGCTTTTTCCAGTGTAACCCATAATCATAATCCCTATGGTATCCACAATTCCCACAGTATCCATGATTCCCTAACATCTCCATGACAACCAATATAATGAAGGATCAACATATCACAAAAGAGTGAAAAATCTATTTTAACATTCTCAAAATGTTGCATCCTTTCAATAGAAGCTCTTCGATAACATATAAATGGGTGACAATGGGCAAAGAGTTGCATTCTTTCAATAGAAGATCTTCGATAACATATAATGGGTGGCAATGGGCAACAGTGAAAAAGCTGCATGTGATGTTTAATGCATATCACCTTAGAGATAAGTTTACTTGTACACCACTAGATCTATTTACTTTTCAAGTAGTTATTGAGGTTAATTGCGATAATAACTGATAGGGACTTTCTTTTTGAGACCAAATCTAGGTTTATGAAACAATATGCCCTAATTTCAACTCCCTCTGTATTGGTTTTGATTACTTTTGTTCTCCTTACCCTTTTTTCAATTAGAATTTTTGATTTACCAAAAGTGCCTGAATTTGTGCTTCTTTTTCAGTTAGAAGATTTCATAATACATGTATATATGAGCCAGGGCACAGGAAAAGGTCTTATCACAAACTTTTTTAATACATGTATTTTGATTTTTTGTTTATCTTAAAAAGCATAAAGAGATCTTTCAAATGACCCATGGCTTGTCTTAACAATGTTTCCTTGCAGATATAGACCAGAAAGACGGATCTGAATTCAGCACATTTTCCCTGAACTGAACTTTTTCATTTTTTTTACTTACAAGTTATTGGCCTTGGTGTCCATCCTATCAACCAGTGATATAAACTCCTTCAGAAAGTGCTGGCAAACAATGAGTCTACTAGATGAGTAGGAGACCATGCTTAACCATATGGGTTCATTCAACCGAGGCGCCAGATAGAGATCATAGACTTCTGATCGAAACTTTTCCAAGGCCTATAAATAAGAATATCACATAATTTTCATCTCATATTGAGCTATCATCGGGGATTTTTGAAATACAAAATGCACCATCCAGCAATTAAGCACAGAAGAAACCCTTGCAAACCCTTGATTCACAAGAATACTGTTAAAGCAGATATGAAATGGTATTTTTTAACCTAAAGGAATCAATATAATTTTTTGATAAATGTATTTGGACATATTTTCTCATCAGTAGTGCGAAAACTATTTCACTCTAACGATCGTTATAGCTGCTTAATAAGCAATATTCGAATTGGTTGTGACGTTATTGGCCCCCACGTGATCTCTCACTGGTCCCCACATGGCCCATAACGTCATAATGCCAAAATGTTTTGTTTTGGTTTACACTACAATCCTATGGTTGCCGTGACGTTGTGATTACTAAGGAACCAATAAACCAAAGCTATATTTTGTATATGACGTTACTTATCACGTGGGGGCCAATTTGATTGATCAGTTAGTTTTATTTCGTTATTTATGACCGTTAGCAGTTATCTAACATTTATTTTATAATGACTATCGCAAGAACTCTACGTTGGGCTTACAAAGGAGAAAACCGCATTTTTGTAGCTGCAAGTTGAGAAAAGCTATTTCAGTTGTCCTTTAAGTGTTACACATCAGCTAGTTGGATCTTTTAAAGAAATTCAGGAATTTTAACTGGAGATGCGAAATTGTGTTATATCTTCTTTACAACCACTTTGATTGATGTTCCTCAGAGTCTGTTTTACTCTATGGCCGAGATATTTTTTCTTATACAATATGAGACACAAAGCCACTTAAATTGCAAATAATGAGATATGACATAAAAGCGCTTACCTCATTAACAACTGGTACAAAGTTGTGTTTCCTACAATATGCCGCTTCAACAGTTTTCTTCAGTTTATTCACGTGACCCTCAATCAGGGTGATGTGCGAAAAAAAGAATTTCTGGAAATTCCTGAAAAGATAATCAAAATCCATAAATAAAGTTTTTACCATAATTCATTGAAGGTATTTTGACTTCATCTCTGAGTAATACTTTTACACAAGTGACCTTTACATCAAGTTTGCGTTGATTATTAGATCCCTGGTTCATATTGAATGCTTTCCTCATTTCACAAAAGGAACATACAAACTATATAAATAAAATACCGAACATGTTCTCGTAGGATAAAGAATGCAAACGAACAAAATGAAATCCTCGATCAGCTCAACTCCTTCTCCTTTACGCTTCATATTCATAAATAGTGAGTGAATAAGATGTTTACAAAAAGCAAAACATATACCTGTTTTTAGGATCATCAATGGTTTCCTCTGGCAGGGAGAAAACAATGCACAAGCCAACCTTAGATGCCCTCTGATTGTATTTGATATTAGGAGGTAGTTTAGCCTGAAAGAAAACAAGATATCATTTTAAAAAAAATAAAGGCTCGTGTGAAGGAGATGTTTGCAGTGTTGTAATGAATATTGTATTGATAGCCTGAAAGAAAATTACCACTGGGAGAATCAAGTTTGGTCACAATGAAGTTAATTCTCTATGGAAATACAGAATCTGAATTGTTATTATGTGATTGTTCCAACGGCTATATATATTATGTAAATTGGTTATGTTTTATAAAGTAAAATAAAAAGCAAAGAAATGAATAAGCAACTTATTCTTTGGATGGAGGTCAAGATTCTAAATTGTATAATAAAAATGCTGTGAAATCAGACACTTCATTCAAATTTTAGAGAGAAATGAAGTGAAAAAGACATGAACACAGACATGAACACATAGACACATAATAAAAAAAAAAAAAACATAGACACATTAGGCAAAATATAGTACTTACGTCCCCATTTGAAGCTTGAGAGTTAGCTTGATCATCAAGAGAGTACCGTTTCCTTGGGCCATATTCTAGCATTGTGGCCCTACTACGCATCCAACGAATCGTGAAACTGTTAGAGTTGTTACTGGCACTACTGCTATGCGGTGATGGCCCGGGTGTCCAACTGCCGCTAGATGCAACTAAAATGATACTTCAGGTTTAACATAGATAGCTGGCATTGAATTGTTAACAACATCTATTTCATCAACATTTTTATCTGTTTTGATTAAGTAATCGATAGTATGATAACTTCATAATTATTTTATATTATTGGGTTTGCATTTGGACCTGTATTCAAATCAGTTATACTGTTATACTGATGCCAAACTGCTATGCAAAATAGAAATGGACATAGAAGTGAAATCAGCAAAGGAGTACTCATAAATGAAACAGGCATGTAGTTTTCATATAGTATAGAATTGTATAGAAATGCAAGAAAATCGTATAGAAATGCAAGAAAATCATATACTTCATTCAAATTTTAGAGAGAAATGGAGTGAAAAAGGGCATGAATTTGTATGGAATTCTAAGCATGTTCACTTACAAGATGCTGCCAAGCCACTGTCCTCATCAGGCTGACTGGAGATTTGTTTATCTTTTGGGGAAGGCATGGGAACATCCATAGGAATACTACGGGCTGAAAAAATAGAATTTAACATTTAGGCCTAATTTATAAAGATTATATTTAATAACATTATAGACTTTGCCAAGAATAAATTTATGTCACAAATGTAATTAATTTTACATTAGAAGGAGGGATTGATTGGTTTTTAAAAAAAATTGGTTTATATTTTGCAGAAATTTAATCTGAAATGTACACAGTTGTGTTTTGAGACAAGACAGAAATATTTACCCAGTCTCTTGAATGCATTGGGAACTAAATACACATCATCTAACTGAACAGGATGTTTTTACAGTACAATAAAATATAATTGCTTCCATGATGATGAATGAGTGCAGTCTGACTTTTAACACTCAGCTAGTTTGCTAGTATAGTGGTTGTAACCTTGAATAAGGTCAAAGTGACATCTCAAAGGTCAGTGACATCCCATAGGTCAAAGTGACATCTCATAGGTCAAAGTGACATCTCATAGGTCAAAGTGACATCTCATCATGGTCAAAATGACAACTCGTATGAAAGTCCATGTAATAAAATGGGGATCCATCAGACTGTGAGGACCTCCTGTCTCATACAATGGGATATCAATGTATTTTAAATGCCACTATGACCTTACCAAAATAAAACTGACACTCAACAAAATAACAGATACATTAAATTATTTAACAAAATAACAACTGCTCAAGCCTAACATGAGTTTAATAGGATATCAGAGACAGATGAAAACACATATATTTTAACACAATTAAAGCTAAAGTCCACCTTGTATCAAAATATAATATAAGAATTGAAATTTGTGTTGTCAATAAAACAAACTTACAAGAAATACATGCTACAAATAGTTCAAAGAATTAAAACAGCTGTTTTGCATCGATGGCATATGTCTTACTTCATTCTCTTAAAGTTTGTTTTCAAATATAAAGTGACAAGAGTAGGCAGACTTAGTACTATCACATCAAAGTCACACCATTTGAGTTAATGATTTATATGTCTGTATAAGGTCCCTTGATTACTGGACTTTGTGTCATTTTGAGGAAACCCCTTTTTGCCTACTGCTTATAAGAACCCTCTTTGCACATCAGGAAGCACATATCATTTATTTGCATGTTAATGACTTCATAAGCTACAATTTTAATTTCAGAAAGGTGACCCATAGAAGGATGACATAAATGTGACAATCTTACCTATTTGAACATTTTCTGCATTGCGCCCATTGCCTGATATTGGGCGTGGTATTCTTGATGTCATAATATCAGGCCCAGAACCCTGTAGACTGTTTGCATCATAACTTTCCCTGAATTCAAAAAGATAATCATTTTTAAAGTTAATTTTTATACAATTTGGCGGCAATGTTAATTTCTCTATTTCTGCCCAATTGAAAACAAAACATGTATCTCAATAATTTGGATATAAAATTTGCTGCTTATTGGATCTTGTTCCTCCTGGACAAGGAGTTCAGATATAGTATGACCCCTTCCTCCTAGCCCTGTAAAATACTAGACACCCTTTACTCTTTATTCTAATTCTAGCTAGCTCCCCACATCCCCCACGGGACAATACATTCAATGGTACTTACGTCATAGAGCTGTGACGAACTGGCATGAAGACCTTTGTCACCATTAACTGAGGTGGGGTCCTGAAAAATACAAATGAAATATCTGGATGGAACAAACTGGAGGAGTCCACTGAAGATATGGGCACTATGAAGATCTAAATTAAACTCTGATTGACTGAATTTGACTTAATGCCAGTTGATAATTCTATGCTTGGGTTAATGGGAAAATAGCCCCATTGTGTGAGCCAACAAGGTGAAAATGATTCTTCCAAAAGGAGTAACTAAAACCAAATGTGTTAACTACAAGCATGGACCTCCATAAAATGAAAATCATATTTGGATTTTCATCTGTCCAAAAGGTATTTATGAAAAGATGGATGGGAGAATGAATGATTGGGTGATTTCGAAGAATCACCATGTGCGCTAATAATAATCCACAACTCAATTTTGACCAGGAGATCTAAAACTTGTGAAGAAACATCCGTGATACAAAGACTGATACATGTACAGAAATCAAAGACTAGGGAGTATATTTTAAGATAGTATATTTCTCATGAGGTGCTCCAAAAGAGACAACAAACACATTTCAAGACAAACATAAAAATAAAAACAACTATAA